GATAAGAAGGTCACAAAATGTTCGTGTAAATGTTAATTACCCATCACGCAATTTGCCGTTAAATCGAATTCATTTAAAGAGATCATCTACAACAGTTCAATGTATCTAGTATTAATAGATACGTCTGACTCTGCAGACAGACTGCATTGAACATCAAAAACATCCTACGTAACCGCTTCTTTACAAACTTAATCCAGTCTTAAGTGGAAGGAGATAAAACACAATTTCAAGTCTACAGTACTAACAATCGTAGTACATGATCCGTTGCCTTGGCTAAGTTATCACACTACATTCGAAACTTGACTCTACAACTTAGTGCATAAAACAGGTTTTAGTTTAATATGTTGTGTGAAATGGGTTCCAAGCCACATAGAGTTGTTACTTTAGTACTATTAAGGTCGTTTTTACTATGGCGCATTGTAATATCCGTTTGTAGTACGACAGAGTACTATCGTAGTAGTGAATGGGTGCATCGTTCGTTGCATATGCCTACTTATTCAATCTATGAATGAGTTTGTAGTATCGATTTTACTTGATATTTTTACGCCATTGGCGGTAAGTTCTTTAAATGTATTTAAGTTTTACTGTTTTTAATGTAGTTTTAGGGCATTGAAGTTATTAATTTACGGTTTTTGCTTGATTAGCGATGGGTTAGTGGCTTGGGATTGCTACTAACCAATTAAGGTTCCTTTCGTGTTAGTTTGTTTTAACGCTTCATCATTTTCCACCTATTTATACGTCCCACTGTTGGCCACAGGTTTCCTATCAGGCGAGGGTATAGGCTATAAACCGCCACGCTAGCTGACCCAATACGGATCGGGAACTTTACACGTTTTCGAGGGTTGTGAACCTTCAAACCTTCACCGAAAAGCTCATTGTAAATTTCAAATTGAATTTCGCACATAAATCCTGTGTCGCGTTGGCCATGGACACACACACAGACAACCACAAATTACACCCAAACTCACGAGAGAATTAAATGTAGGCCATACAAATATTTCTCCCGACCCGGGAATCGAACCTGGGACCTCTGCGTGGCAGTCCGGCATGGTAACCGTTCGGCCACGGAGGCAGTTGTATTAGGCTGTTCTAACGCTTGATTTTGTGACATTCTTTTAATTCTCGTCACGTGACGTCAGTCTGTAATATGCAGTTTGTTACAAGTACTATTCTGGGAATGCCTTTTGTTATAAAGCTGATGTATTTAGTAGTGTTTTTTATGGTAAAGGCTATAAAGGTAATAGTAATATTACAGAGGCCGGGAGTAAGGGATTGCTGGACGAGTATGAGTTATAAGACCGAGCGCCAGCGAAGCCTTGCATTAATACAAGCAATCCCCGTTCCCGCCGAGGCTTATATAGTAATTTTCTCAAACAATGTGAGGAAGTAATAGAAGGAAGTTAAAGAAAAGAAGATGTATAATAGAAAAAGTAAAAAAAAAGTTGATTAAAATTAAAAATAATATATATCATAGTATTTGCGGGCATTTTCGTTGTCTCTCTTTTCAATACAACTTATTTTCGCGACGAACATGGAAAAAATAAAAACAGAAATGAACGCACTTTAGTTTATTTCCGCCTTTTTTTTAAAAGCAAAATCACGATGAAATTACGAACACTTGGCAGTTGGCTGTATGAGTTTTTCTTTTGCCTGTTTACATAATTCATTATTAGTAGGTAGATTTAAAAGTTTAGAGAAGTGGACATTAATAAATTAATAAAACTGAAACTAAATAAGATATAAAAAACCTTGTAGACCTCGTTTCGCTAATTCCACGTTTTAATAACTCTATTTCGTTGAAAATGTCGATTATGTTAGTTATAATAAGGAGGTCAGTATTGTTGTCAGTCATTACACGCTTTCAAAAGAAAGTGTAAGTAATGGCTACTTAACGTACATAAATCACAATGTTGCTGTAGTAAATTGCAATCGTAACTGCATTAAATTGGAACAAATCGTTTCTTTGCATTGTTTTAAGTTTCTCATTAGTTTATTTGTCACCGGAATAAATTTAAATACCGTATCGTTTGTACCTGTTCTTGTACTTGCAATATATTATGGTTATAAATGCTCATTAAAATTTTTAATCAATTTTAGACATGTCCTACAAATTTAAAATGTAATAATTAAACTAAATAATTATAATCCCGTCTGAAATCCGACATTCTAAGTCGCTTCCTATTAGAAATGAAACTATTTTTCCGGATTTAAATCGCGTATATTTGTTTTTTCAAACAAACCGACGTTTATAGCCCTTTACAGGACCCATGGTCACGGTTGACTGAGGTGGTTCAGTCTTCAACCAGTTATGTCTAATGTCAATGCAAACCACCCTATTTTTTCACTATAGTTATTAATTAAATACCTTATTTTTAGCTCCTTGTGAAAGAGTTCTTTCAGTGAAGTACTGTCACCTTACTTATTTCTGCCGCCAAGCAGTAGTGTGACCATTATTGCGTTCTGGTTTGGAAGGGCAAGGGAGCTGGTGAAGTTACATGCACATGGGATTTGTCAACGGCGCTGCGGCGCTGAGTGGTACTGCAACTGTTATGGACAAGCGTGTCGTTTACAATCAGGCGCACGACTTGTTTGTCCCGTCACTTATTTTTTATAAAAAAAAAAATTAGACATCAAATGACAGCAATCGTATCGAATTTTGACATTACTTTCATCGTAAAGCTGAAATTTGTGTAGTACGTATGGGCTTCGGGAAAGTAGGCCTTTGCCCGGCAGTGGGTGATACAGAGCTGAAAATTACAAATGAAAAAAAAAATACAGGCGACTAATAAATAATAATAAACTACGCAATTGCTAGACAAAAATAACAAAGTAAACAGTTTACTAGGTGTCGTCTATGAAATTACATAACAGACGTAAGTATGTTCACGTGCTATGATAACAGCATGTCGGAAGTCCTTGTGCTTATCATATGTCATACAAATAACTAAGGCGTACGGGAGTGACTGGTATTATGATTAAGTGCTCACTTGGAGGTAATGAACAAAATTCCTTAAGAAACATAAGTTTTTTTCTATAATTTCGTGACGAGACGAACAAGTCGTGCCCTTAATGGTAAGCTACACGCCTGTCCACGACAGCTGCAGTGCCAGCTTTAACTTGCAAAGATCTGGAGCACTGCCACTGCGCCCGTCACTCTGAGACATAAGTTGACCAGTCCCATGTGCCTGTAATTTCACCAACACCCTTACCCTTCAAAATCGGAACACAGTAAAGCTGACATTACTGTATGGCGGCAAAAATAGATAAGGTGGCAATACTTCCCTAGATGAACTCTTTCACAAGGAGCTCTACTGCTACTAAAAATAATAAGTTTTCCTACAATCTACCCACGGTCCATCATTAAAGATTTTTTTTTTTCATAAATAATAACTACTGACATTCGTGACAATCGATCGGTGGCATCTTTCAATCACAAACTAAAAGAGCACTTCCTGTCGAACGCGTTAGATAGTTAATCGGTAACATATTTGTAAACAAGTAATTTGTTATTATAATATATATTCTGCTTATGTATGTATTTATGTATATAAAGCTCATGTAAGTGTGTGTATGTTTGTCGTATGCATATTATGATCTCTTATATTTTATTCACATTTCAATTTGTTGTACAATAATTAGTGCCGCACACTATATTTTTGCACCAGGGCTAGGGTTGGCTGGACGAGATCTCTTATAGAGATAAGTTCACGTTGGCATATGTCCATTGTAACGTGAGTTTCATGTGTTTTTTGTTTGTACAATAAAGAATATATTTAACTTTTTTTACTTATTACAAAAAGACACACGTTCGTGTACAATACAGTGGCTGACAAGAAAGATTGCCCAGGTCCTTGCAAAAGAAGTCCGTTATCTGCCCAGGATGCTGCGAGAGGCCATTGAAATTAAAAAACATCCTAATTTCAACAGGGAAGATGGTTTCTCCGTACCACCAGTTTGGGATCCAGTATTTCCTCTAATGAAAAATCCCAAACAGACATAAGACTGCAGTACTAATTAATATGTTTTAATTTATTCTAATTTCTATTAATAATTAATAATAAATTAAAGTTAATAAAAAATTCATTCAATAAAATAATTTGTAAAACTTAATGTAGCGTAAATTGGAATGTTTTCTTTGTAAAATTAAAAATAAGGTATTTAATTAATAACTATTGTAACTATATTGAAAAAATAGGGTGGTTTGCATCAATATTAGACATAACTGGTTGAAGACTGTACCACCTCAGTCAACCGTGACCATGGGACCTGTAAAGGGCCCGAAACGTCGGTTTGTTTGAAAAAACAAATATACGCGATTTAAATCCGGAAAAATAGTTTCATTCCTAAGAAAGATTGTACGTACACTTTAGTATTATACTGTGTCCTGTTTCTAAAGATACAGCTTGTTTGATATGAAAAATAGATTAATGGAATTATAAATTGGTAAAAAATGTAAACAACCAAGTATGACCAAGATAAAACATGAAAAACATTGTTGTGTTGACAAAACGTCGGTTCAGATCCCCTTCTCGGGTGGGACAAAGCGGTCCTAAGTCAACTAGCACCACGCCTTCGCAAACGTGTCACGGCCGTGAATCGAACGGTTTACATTTTTTTTAATTTCACGATATTTTAGATGATGTCGCCCATCAACGCGAACGGCTCACTGTGAGAATACTTAATGTTCATACTTTCACGGCTTCGATGTATGGATCAGTTCCTAATACGAAATTTTGAGGTGGTTACGTTTAGTAAAAGTTTTTCTATGGAGTTCTTCTTTTGTATATAGCATTTGTTATTAATTAATAGTGTCGCTTACCACCAGGTGCATGACTTGTTCGTCCTGTCACTTATATTATAAAAAAAATATTTCCAGCGTTCTTTTATCAGGAAACTTTTTTACGAGTCTTCAAAACGTAACTCTTATATAGAATATCTTACAAATGTATAGTCGATAATCAACCTCATATTGTACTGAAACAAGTTTCCTTTTGTTTTAGGCACTTCTCTCTGTTCATCTGCACGTCATCAACATCATTTTACACCACCTGCCGCAACGGTTAGTATCTTTACTTTCATACTTTTTGAGTGGACTGTGAGACCAAACAGATATTTTTAGTCTGTTATATATTGTTTAAGTGCGCATGAATAGTCAGTTTCTATAAAATACTGATATTAAAGGTCATGTCAACAATTAAACTGGCGAAATGACGTCAGTTACTTTTATTAGATCGATACCGTATTAGGAATGGAAATGTGGAGGTTTATAGTTATATACTTACGTCATTAAATGTCGCACTTTCGATAATAAAATGGCGCAATTGAAAAAAATGGTATTTTTGGAAAAGTAAAAAAAAAGATACACATTATAAAAGTAATGTATAGTTTATTATTCCAGGTAGATTTTTGACATGTTTTACTAGCAGTAGAGCTCCTTGTGAAAGAGTTCGTCCAGGGATGTAGTGCCACCTTACCTGTTTCTGCCGCTAGGCAGTAATGTCAGCATTTCTGGGTTCCGGTTTTGAAGGGTAATGGTGCTGGTGAAATTGCAGGCACATGAGACTTGTCAACTTATGTCTCAAGGTGACGGGCGCAGTGGCAGTGCCACTCAGATCTTTGCGGCTTAAAGCTCTAAGAGGCACTGCAACTGTTATGGACAGGCGCGTAGCTTACCATCAGGCGCACTACCTGTTCGTCCCGTCACTTGATATTATATGAAAAAAAAAAATAGCATGTCATATAAACATTTCAAAAAAGACCAACGATTCATTTGAATTAGTTATCATTTATATTTATAATTAAAAATCTGTTTTTCAAAAATGGTTTTTCGAATTTCATCTCTTTGTCACTTATCCTCGGTCTAGCCCGTTCGTCTTTAACTATTTTACTGTGGATATATTGTTTTTTCAGTCAAGAAATTTAACCGAAGACCGTGTGTAAAAGCATTGATGCGATAAGTGTGTCAGAATCGTAGTTATTGCAAGACCTCTGTCAAAAATCTGTTCGGGACAAGGTGTGAAGTAATTGTACATAAAATCAGTTAATTTCAGATACAGAAGTAAGATGTAATATTATTTTACATATTTTTTTATACCAACTGACGGGACGAACAACTAGTGTGTCGGTAAACTACACGCCTGTCCATAACAGTTGCAGTGCCACTCAGAGCTTTAAATCGCAAAAATCTGAGGGACACTACCACTGTGCCCGTCAACATGAGACATACGTTGACGAGAGCTCTACTGCTACTAAACAAGGGGTATATGGATGTCGATAAGTGCTGGAAAAGTTGTTTTAAAAAATAGAACAAATAAGCGTGACGATGCATGACATGACAATGCGTGATGATGCAAAAGAACTAATAAGCGTGACGATGAAATCTATGTCAAATTAAATAAAGTTCCATGATACTATTCACGCCAATCTCAATATTTGTCTATGAAAACCTTGTTTTCTTATCGATATGTGTCGATATTTATCTCGTTTGTAAATGATAACGATATTATCGAATGTAAAATTTTACAATATTCACACGTTGTGAGACGGAATTGCTTGGTTATCTTAATTGTGACCTGAATCTTTTGTTATCATGTGTCGTCGATATAGTGCCCTTCATCAGGAAGTAGTGGTTTTATCTATAAACTATCGATATTGATAAATTATCTATAAACTATAATATTGATAAGTGGGGCCAGAACGGTGGCTTATGTTTACAATATTTTTTTCTATTTAATTTTGTTTGTTAGAAAAAAGAGCCGAAGTTTTTAAAAGGATAACGCTTTTGTCTGTGTAGTAAACGTCATTCTTATTCTAGCTAGCTTTTTTGACATGTTTATGACGTGAGCCCCACGTTTCTTTTGAATTGGTTGTACACTTTCCTTTTAAATTGGCTATGCAAGTGTTATTTATAATTGAAAATCTATTTTGACAGTCTTTCTGATATGACTTTTGGAATTTCATCAGTTTGTTACTTATCCTTTGTCGTACTTGTTCACCTTTAATTATTTTTAACCGATTTCTAAAAAGGAGGATTTTTTCAATTCGACTGTATTTTTTTATGTATGTTACGCGATAACTTTTGTGAACCTATTTTGATGATTCTTTTTTGTTGGGAAGAGGGTACTTAAATATTGGTCCCATTTATTCAAATTTGAAGGAAATATTTCAGTTCTAAGACTGGCAAACTAGGAGATGAATCCGGTTCCGCGTACTTTCCGGTGACGGATTTCAATAAAACTTGGCAAATAAATGTAATTCCACGAATTTTTGAGGTCGGTTTTCATAAAAACATTGTAATTATATTGTGTACATATTGTTTTTTTCGGTCACTAAATTTAATCAAAGACAGCGTGTAAAAACATTGTTGCATGTGAATGAGGCGATAGGTGTGTGTCAGGATCGTAGTTAGTGCAAGGCTCTGGCCTCTGTCAAAAATCTGTTGGGGCAAATGTGTGAAATAATTGTACATAAAATCAAATACAGTTTAATTTCAGAAACAGAAGTAAGGTATATCGCACTGCTAATACAATAGTATATTAACTCAAATAGTGTATTTTCTCAGAAAAACTAATTACTCGCTTCCCGTGAAAAAAATTAAAATGTATGTATAGGTTATAGTTTATTGCATACAATTTCCTACTTGCCAAATATATTTAAACATAAAAGCGAAATAATAATTTTATATTTTTGAATAAGGACTATTTTGGCCGGAACTAGCTAACATAAAGCGTGTCTCATTTTGAGTTAAGTAGATAGATATCTTTTAGTTGTTTCTTACAATGTTTTGTTGACGTGTAGAGACTCAAATTTTACGTTCAATAATGATATAATCTTGAATTTCACATATTTTGAGTTACAACACTATTGTAATAGCAGTGCGGTATTATTTTAATAATATTTTTTTTTTATTTTCATGATACCAAGTGACAGGACGAACAAGTCGAGAGCCTGGTGATAAACGACACATCTGTCCATAAGAGTTACTCGAGAGCTTTAAATCGCAAAGATCTGAAGGGTACTATAAGTTGACAAGTCCATGTGCCTGTACTTTCACCAGCACCCTTACCCTTCAAAACCGTAACGTAGTAATGTTCACATTACTGCTTGGCAGCAGCAATAGGCAAGGCAAGTACTGCCCAGTACTTGCCTGGACGAACTCATTCACAAGGAGATCTACTGCTACTAAAATATTATAGCATATGTAATTTAAAACTATTATCTTTGGTAACCAATAGTGTAGGTATGTATGTGTTACTGTTTGGATTATTTGGAATACAATTCCCTACATGCAGACTTGTTTTCTGAACTTTATAATTTAGTTTTTTTGAAGATGAGAGCCAATACGCGTTATATGGGTGTGTACATACACATTCATGGAACATTCCATCGTTGATCTCTTTAGCACTTTGAAATAGAGAACAAGTACGCATTTATTTCTTATAAAATAAACAATTACTAATTTGCAACCAAAGGCCAATTGTCGTAAATTACCAGTGTCGTTAACTCGACGTCATCATCCCATAGCAATAATATACATTACAACTGGGTGGCCCAACAGTTTGGTCCTGGACGTTGGATGAGAAGGTCCCGGGTTTGATTTCTGATAGCACTATTTTAGGAAATAAACTTTTCTAAAATTATTCTGGTCTGGAAGTTCTGGTGTTCTGGGTAATGCATCAGAGTGAATTCTCTGTCTAGACCAGGAATTTGGTGTAGTTATCTGGTACATTGTTTTTATTAAATTTAAAAAGAGAAGATGATTTGGAAAAGATTAATTTTCGGTATAGACGCACTTCGAAGCGCATTTAAAAAACGTATAAGCAGCAACGCAAAAGCGTACTATATGTATTACGTAGTATAACACCGTCTTATTGTCTGAGTTGTTAGTTCAGATGTCCAAATGAATTTCGGAAAGGTGTACTATCAGATGTTTAATTTTTACTAGAGATTGGGTTTCAATTATTCTGGTACGCCACTGTTATACTTGCTTTTTTTTTTAACATTAGAAATGTGGTAAACAAAAAGCGACGAAATGAATACCCTTAAATGCTGAGGGTATAAAAATCACATTTCTGAAATTATATAAAAATACTCAAACTCAAATTTTTAACCATAGTTTTTTTTACAAAACATTTGGCCGCCCCACTCGGGCCAGTACCGGATTTGTCCATCTTCAACGCACTTTAGCAATTGAAAGTTATATAAACATAGTTCTAGAAGAGCTACTAACAATAACGTTGAACAGAAAATAATACACATTCAGCAATTTCAAACAATAACAAAAACACAACAATCAATAAATATAGGATACGAGACTATTTTTCCGGATTTAAATCGCGTATATTTGTTTTTTCAAACAAACCGACGTTTCGATATTTTCTCTAATGAAAAATCTCAAACAAACATAAGACTGCAGTACTAATTAATATGTTTTAATTTATTCTAATTTCTATTATTAATTAATAATAAATTGAACTTAATAAATATTCATTCAATAAAATAATTTGTAAAACTTAATGTAGCGTAAATTGGAATGTTTTCTTTGTAAAATTAAAAATAAGGTATTTCATTAATAACTATTGTAACTATAGTAAAAAAAATGGGATGGTTTGCATCAATATTAGACATAACTGGTTAAAGACTGTACCACCTCAGTCAACCGTGACCATGGGACCTGTAAAGGGCCCGAAACGTCGGTTTGTTTGAAAAAACAAATATACGCGATTTAAATCCGGAAAAGTAGTTTCATTTCCTATGTGTTACACATATCATATATTCGCGAAAACCTAAGATCTCGGAATCAATAAATATTCAAACAATAAAAAACCAACCACCTGAACAAGCAGGCTTCCGGAGTGGATACTCAAGCATGGACCACATTCACGCAGTCAAACAACTGATGGAGAGATGCCGTGAATACGACCGACTCATGTGTCTCGCTTTCGTCGATTATGAGAAGGCTTTCGACAGTGTCGAACACTGGGCCCTGTTTCACTCTCTCCATCGCTGGGGCATTGACAAGCGATACGTGGATATCGCGACTATGTAAGTGCGTATGCA